CTTTTCTCTAACTGCTTTTATGATTCTGCTATTGTGTAGTACTTCTGGGATTTTGACTACATAGCTATTTTGGTTCTATGCCAGACTTACCTGTATGTTAAATTATTTTCCTCTTTTTCTGCTATTATCTCAATAAGCAGGGCTTTTAAAAATGCTACTTATGCTTAAGTGCCACTGTAGCAGCAATCCATGTAACCCCAGACCAAAGCACATGCTACCTTTTTTCTTTCTCTTACTCTTAAGCCTGAAAGCCTGATTTATTTATAGTGGTGTGTAGTATTCCTTTTGTGTCACCCCAAAACCATTTCTCTGTGATCTTCAATAAACATAGCTGTTTTATATAAGAACTTGGAATCTGTGGGATCCACCACAGTTAGTTTCTTCTTTGCATTGCTTTTACTACATCCTGTAACTTTTGGTAAACTGTGCTGGTATCATTTGTCTCCAAATAGTTCTTGTTTCTCTTGTGATTTTTTTCTTTGACCCTTTGGTCTTGAAGAGTCTCTTGCTTAATTTCCATGTATCTGTGGATTTTCCAGTTTTCCTTATTCTGTTAATTTCTAGTTTTAATTGTAATTGGAAAAGACACTGTGATTTTCAAATCTCAGTTCCACGTTTTCTCCCTACTTTCCTTTCTTTCATTCCCTCTTACATACTCAGAATTGAACACAGCCCCTCCTCACCTTAAATTTTATTTTGACACAGGATCTTTCTAAATCATTAAATCACCCATCTGACCTCGAATTTTACTTGGAATGTAGACTTTGCAAGTCAAGAGCTCAATCCCATAAGACTGCCTTTACAGTCACAAAATGCCAGTCATAAATCCTAGGATCTACCCACAGATCTGATCCAGTGGCTATAAATTCAATTCTAAGAATCCTCTGTTCAACTTTTATAATTTGTTGGAATGACGTGCAGAACTCAGGAGAACTCTTTACTTATATTTACCACTTTATTATTGCAAACACAAATGAATAGCTGGATGAGGCAGGACTTTGGGTGAGATGTAGAGGGATCCCAAGCACAGGCATCTTTGTCCTCATTGTTGGAGTATGTCCCTGGATGTGGGTGGAGGTACTCACCAATGTGGATCTCACTGATGAAGAGCTCAATATTCAGTACTCTCGCTTGTCCTCTGAGACTAATGGATGAGACAAAAGTCTAGCCCTCTATTCACTTCATCTTTCTGGTGACCAGCCTATTTATTCTGAGGTGATCTAGGGACTCTATCTTGTTATTTCTTAGCTCAAATTTAGGTGTGACTGAAAGGATCTGTTATGAATAACAAAAGGTAATCTTACCACTTCAGGAAATTCTAAGGTCTTTAGGTACGCTCCCAGGAACCACCAGGGACAAATACCAAATTAATTATTTATCTATTTACTTATACATAGGATTACACCCAGGATCTTTGCACTAAGCTATATCCCCAAATTTTTTATTTTTTATTTTGAGACAGGATTTCACTAAGTTGCTAAGTAACCCAGGCTGGGCTCAAACTTGTGATTCTTCTCCACTAGTCTCTCAGAGTGCTAGGATTACAGGTATGCATTCACCATACCAGGCTCTAAATACATTTTTTATAGCAGAATTCAAAAAAAGTGAGGTGACTTAGGAGGAGGTTTAGTGATGTATGCTGTTATTTTAAATGTCAGTCTTATTTTTTCAACTAGACTTCAATCTCTGGGAGAAAAGACAATGACTTCAAGTTCAATGATTTATGTTGCATCATGCAATGTGAAAAATAAGTACACAAGTTATTGTTATGCTGTAATAACAGTAAAACTTTACATTCACATTTGATTTCATGGCATTACAAAATTGTTTCAAATGTATTATTTACTTTGAATTTCACAAACTTGGAAAGATCTCCATTTTACAGATGATCTAACTGAAGCCCTGAAGTCCTTATTCAGTAAACATGGTTCATAAGAAGCAGAGATCCAATGCAAATCCAATTCCTCTGATTTGAATTCCAAAAACAAAAGATATTTGACTCTAGGACATGTCCTAAGGTTTTTTTGCTTTTTGGAGACAAATTTCTTGCTAAGTAGTTCAGGCTGGCCTTGAACTCACTATATATATCTATATCTATATCTATAATCTATATCTATATCTATATCTATCTATCTCTATCCATCCATCCTTGGCTGGCCTGGAACTCATGGTGATCCTCCTGCCTCACCCTCCATTGCCATGCCCTGCATAAGTTCTTTGGGTCTTATTTTCTAAATCTGTAAAAGAGGGAATCCTTAAAATATTTCAATTCTAAAACTCTTTTTTTTTTGGTGCTAGGAATTGAACTCAGGATCTTGTGCTTGCAAGACAGGTGCAGTGCCACTGAGTTAAACCCCAGCCCTCAATTCCAAAATCTTAAATTCTATAATTTTTATATTCTCTTCTAGTTTTAAAGTATCTTTATTTGATATGCATAACAGTTGGCTTTTCCTTTGCACCACAAAATTCACAGCAGCCTGAGATTTAGCTCACTGGTTCCGCTGCCTGCATCACAAGTGCAAGGTCCTGAGTTTGATCCCTGGCACCAAAACAAGCAAAAAAAAAAAAAAAAAAAAAAAAAAAAAAAAAAAAAAAAAAAAAAAAAAAAAAAAAAAAAAAAAAAAAAAAAGAAAGAGAATAATGAATACTTCTATTTTTGTTTCACAATTTTACCAGTGCTGAGGATTTAGCTCAGTGGTGCCACCACCTGCCTTGCAAGGTCCCGAGTTCAATCCCTGGTACCAAAAAATAAAAATAAACAGATGTTCCAGAAAGACACTAATTTAGGAAAGACAAAATAAAGTTGGCTATTAAAGCAAATTCCACTGATTTCCATTTAAAAACCAAACAACCCTTTTCCCATGGAAGTTTATAATATATTCAACTTATTACTTTTGTTGAAGAATAAGTAGAAATGATTTGAGTCCACAGCATCATAGGTGGAAAAGAATACTCTGAAATAGAGGTGGCTGCATTAGTGAAATGTTCTTGATTTTAACCAGGTATCTACACTTTCTAGACTATAAAGACCCTGCTCATGCCTAGTGAAAAATTATTTGAATTTGAGAAAGTTTCTTTTCTTCTTCTATTTCAGGACATGAAGATCATGGGATAAGGCTGGAATACTATCCTCCCCCTACCCCAAGTGATATTATCAAAGAATAAATCAAGGAATAATGAATTAGACCCTGGAAAAGAATTAACAAGTATGTAAATTTGAAAGTGTTTTCCAACATTGAGATCCATCAACAACTTTAATTTTCCTGAGATTCTTGGCTCCTAGTTATGTGTGATGTCTGTAATCCACTTTGTAAGGTCTCAAAATGCAAAATTTGAAAGGAAGCATATTTCTTTTCCTTCCTAGTCTTTTTTTGGAGTGCTGAGGATGGAACCCAGGCCTGTGTATACTAGACAAACATTGTACCTCAGGGAATATGTGTGTGTGTGTGTGTATGTATATCCCCCCGCCTTTGTTTCTCAAACCCTGTCTATACTGAGCATGGTGTCACACTCCTGTAATCTCAGCACTCTGGAGAATGAGACAGAAAGATCTTCAGTTAAAAGCTAGCCTTGGTTACACAGAACGACCCTAAGGGGGGAAAAAAAGCCCAATTTGTTTGTAATTATACAAAACAAATGCCTTGGAATCCAAAGCTTAATATGAACATCAAGCCTCAAACACTTAGTCACCAACTATTTATTATTATTTATTATTTGCAGGTATATAATTGATCTTTGGTTAATTAGAGCTAGAGTTATTTTGTAATCTTTGTACATTGCCACTTGGTTGAAAATTTCAAGTGCCTAGTACATGTCAGGCACTATGATAACAACTTAGATTCGCACAACTTTTTTTGTTTTGTCCTTTGAGATAGGGTCTTGCTGGCTATGTAGTTCAGGCTGACCTTGACTCACTGTGCAGCCCCAACGGGCCTAGAACTCAAGGTAATCCTTCTGCCTCCACCCTGGAGTGCTGTGATCACAGGCATGCCATCAACCCTGGCAGGGTCACACAATTCTTAAAGGAAAAAGGACCATTAACTACATTTTGGGTCACTTGACTGTTTGGTAATAAAACTTATGTATTTCCTCGGTTTCTCAAGCAATAACAAATTTCATCAATTTACTTCCTCAACTTCATGTTGTAGAGACATCCAATACAAGAAATAACATGTTTTTCAGTGGTGTTAAATAAAGCAATTCTGTTGCAGTGACAAACCACTCTAACGGAATGGCTTACTTAGAATAAAAAAGACCTTCTTTATGACATTCTCATCAGATTTCAAGTTAGCATTGGTATTACAATTCCTTACACAGGACAAACCTGGTGGCCACACAGGTCCACGAAAGCAGGTGGTGTCAAAGGTTCGCTGCCCAGCTTTCTCCCTCTCCTGGAGGAGACGGCAAGTGGCACGGTGGCCTCTTCCACCAGAGTCCCTCAGCGGCGCGCAGTTCAATAAAGTGCGGATAGCTCTCCAGCTGAGGAATTCCATCAGGAGATGAAGCATCCTATCCTGGGATGCTCGCTCCTCCGGCAAGAAGAACAGAGAAGCAGGATGCTGGCGACAGAGAGGGTCTGAAAGGTGCACTCTGGAACGCGGTCCTAATGCTAAGAAATCCTGCAAGGCTCTGGAACCTGGAAAGGAAAGGTGGGGCTAGCACGCGACGTGAAGCACAACCGACTGAGGGAGAACGCAGGCGTCTGCGCCGAGCTGGGCGCCGAGCGAAGGGTGCGAACTGCTAGCTGCACGTCTGCTGGGGCTGCGCAGCCGGCGCGGAGCGTAGCACGCATGCGCACACGGCGTGCTGCGACTGCAGCAGTCTGGGCCCCTCGCCCGGCGTAGCCAGGCGCTGGCTTCTGCAGCTCTCGCTGTAACGCGGCGATCCGGCTCCTCTTGTCCGCTCC